CTCGTCCCCCAGAAAACTCGAAAAGTGTGGCGATAAAGGGTGAATGGCCTCCGATTCCCTAGGATGGCTCTGCTAGACCATAGAAGTGATTAGTGATTTCAGTGACCTTTCGTTTAATGAGGTGACTAATTAAGTGATGATTCGCGTATTTTCCCAAATTTTTGAAATACAAATGGCCTGAATAGATGTTGCTCTTCATCCATTAAATACACATTCAAGGCTGGCCATCCATGGTGGATCAAATGGTGGATTACTGGTGGCTGCTTGCTCGCAGCAACGTCCTGAGCTGTACGGAGCAGTGCTTAACCGTGTCGGGTGGGTGCCTCGATTTTATTATTTTTTGTAACCATGAATGCGTTCTTCGATGGTACCTCTGTCTAGGAATGAAGACGGTGGATGAGGAGGGGGAGGGTCGAGAATACGTCGCGGAATCCGCGACAGGAGGGGGGTCACCTTTGCAGAGGTCAGTACTGAACACAGCAGCGAGGTTAGCTTGCAGGGAGGGTGATGTTTTTGGAAAGGAAGTCGCGGCGCATTTCATTGAGGTGTTAATGAGCCCTCTGAGCTCAGTTCCTATTCTTTATATAGGAAAGGGTGTAGGGAGGCCTCCCGAGCTTTCTAGATGGGAATTTGGGCTTTGCAGGGAGAGATCCCCATGCTACAGCTGAAACTGACTTTCGCATGGTAATCCGCAAACAGCGGATTTTCGCTATAATTAAGCTGCAGCGAATCGTTCTGCTCATGAGAAAGAGAAAGCTTCCTTTACAACGTCGTGTAGATCTCCATTCTATATTATGCCTCGACGTCGGTGCGGCTCTTAGGCAGCGTTCAGACTTCGCGACGACAGCGCTTCGGTCGCGCGTTCGACGCGATCGATGCGCATGCTTTCGACTGCATCGATCGCGTCAAACGCGCGACCGAAACGCTACCGTCGCGAAGTCTGAACGCTGCCTTAGAAGGTAACCTCGTCAAGAGATCTCGCATTCGCCTCGAATTGCCGTCATGCAGTTCGATAAATCTGTGGTGTATTTCGAATTAGAGCCTGGCCCTACAACTTGAATGGTCCCACCGCTCCGCGAAAGATAGTTTTTGAATGGAGTTATACCCTTTCAAAAATACTACGTAGTGGCCCTCCATTCTCGATACGCTACGCAGCCTCAGTAGCTCAGTGCCTCGGCTTCGTATTGTTTCGTTTGGAGGGCGTCATAATAAGGTTCTTTCGAAGTTTCATTCTGCGCATTTAACTACTTCTCAGAAACCCTTTCAGCGCTTTTGTTTGACTGGCTTGGAACGTTCCTAGATTCGCAGGCATAACTTACATCATATACAGTTACGTCCTGATGAACATAATGATGCCTCCACACACAGCATAGTGACGAAGGGGGGGGGGGAAGGGTCGCGCGACTTTCTAGGAGGCCTTTGAATCCCCCCCCCCCTTCATTCCACCAATTCCCCGCGACGTAATGCTTGACCCTGAGGAGGTGCTAAGGAATACTCACCCCGTTCGCACTGGTCAGCAAAGCTGAACTGAACTGCGAGTGTAAATGTCCTTCTGTCGGTTCTGTTATCAACGTTTAAGTGAAATTTCATAGTGTCATGGACATGCTACGCTTCCACAAGTTCACAGTTGGTGGAGCGTGGCTACCAGAGTACGGTAATCCTGATGTGGAGAAGGATTTCAATTTCATCTATAGGTCAGTTCAATTGTTATTTGTTATCTGTAATTTTCCTCCATGGATTGAAGTCACACAAGTTGCAGCAAAAACGTCGTACTCATAAAAACACCATTGTAAAAACGATTAAACAGCAAGCAGCAAGCGTTATATGCCTCACCATATCGTTGAGATCGTCAGGTTTTCCCTTGGGCGCTAAAACTAGATGGCGGAGTGAGGAGGGCGCGGGGGGCGTGGCGGTGTTGTACTCACTGGCAAGGAGGTACATCAGAGAGAGTTCTTTCCATCATGGTTGCCTCAAAACTCGTACTCAGCGGCAGCAGTGAGAGAGCGCAAACATGCATTGCACTTGGCTATGGCTTCTATGGGCGCCTGGCTGGCCGTATGACAGCGCGAGCGAAGTGTGGAGCCGGCATACGGGAATCGTTACCCTCCAGCCCGTTCCTGTGCTTTTTTTGGCCGGAGGAAGTGGCACGCTAGTGCAGCTGCTAACCATTCTTTTCA